AAGGGCAGAGTCCTGTTCATATGGGGTTTTCACAATGTCTAGGAGAGGAAACCTGATTTCTTACAGCTGTTTCCAATCCACACTTTGCAAGAACGCTCGAATGGTTTTATATGCTGTATCCATTTGGTTAAACCGCCACTCACTGAGACCTAGAGCCTGATAAGAATGAGGCTTCTTCACAAACTGTTGACAAACGGTTTGCTGTTTGGCTTTGTGGAAGGCAAGTTATTAGTTGCAAGTGCAAGGCGCTAGCATCATAGCATGAAAGCAGTCATGGGGTGTGCCTCGGTGTAGAGAGTCAGCTAAGGGTGGCAGAGGAACCATAGTTCTCAGAGTCCACTCGAAACGACACCCACCCGATTTCTGCCTGCCTCTACAACAGTCAGTCCTCTCTCCCCATTTAGTGCTGGCTCCAGTTGTACCAACTTCACAGTCCAAGTGCCCGTGTGTGCCACATGTGCCCTTGCCGAGTGAAGCTTCCGGCCCAGGGTACTTGAGACAGTGGTGTGTAGGACAACCTCTGCTTCTGCCTCTCTCTCCCAAGTCCAAGATCAAGCAGATCAAGAGTAGCTTGATACTGGTAATGGCAGAAATAATTATACGTGGAAATTGGCACACAGGAAATCATAGTTTCATTTTTGAGAGATCTGGCTGTTGGTAAGCACAGCCTGTCAATGACATGGGCATCGATTTTCCAGTCCCCTTCCTAGCATTCTTCTCACTCCCACCCATTTATTCCCAAGCATCCTTCATGCTTGAGGCTGTTTACCAGACTTTGGGGAGGAATCCCCTTCCTGGCTTTGCAGCACACTTTTTAAAAAGCACTACTTGGCCTCATATTTTGTCTTCTTCCAAACTATTTCTTTCAACTATCGCTTTCAAAATAACCAGGAGAGGTAATAGCATGATAGTCCTCTTAGAGTCAGTGCTCTCCTATGAAGAAGCTGTCTGTCTTCCACCGAGGGGAAAGCTGGTGTCACTGTGTGCAACACCGCCACTTGTGCTATATGTTGTGGTTCACAGAGACCTATTAAATCGGGGGATTTAGAGCAGAGCCATAGATCATCCCAGACAGAAGCAAAATGAGAGTTTGTTGCAGGAGTCTTAATTTTGCTTTCCTGAAATCAGAGGAGGTAAATGGCCAGTAGTCAGGACACTGGTGATCTTAGAATATGCTGGAAAATTAGTTTTCTGCTCCTAGAACTGGGAACCCCATGAAAAATGGGAACACAAAGACCGCATAATTCTTCTTGGATGACTGAATGAACATTGGTCCCGGCTTACGCCTTTGCTTGCCGGGAGAGGTGAGCCGGTGCACTGCACTGTGGGGAACAGACACTGAGCTGGCTGAGGGTGAATACCCAGAACCTAGAGCGTGGAGGGACTAACACACACATGGTTGTGAACACACAGGCATGCATGGATGGCGGGTCCTCATTCTTCTCCATTGTGTGTAGCCCTTACCGTGATGTTGGTTGAAACTCACTCTGGTTCTGCACAACCCTTTCCACTGTCACTCCAATCCTTCAGACGTTTCTCTCTCCTCGGGTATGTGGAGGAGAGAGAAAAATCTCCTCCCAGTTTTCAGGACCCTAGATGTATTTTGTTCACCCATCTTTCCCACTTCCCCAGAATAGGATCTTGTCTGTGTTATCAAATGTTGTTTCATAAAACTGAGCATCCACAAGACAACCAGACCTTCCTTGTGCTGATATTAGTGGTTTTTCAGCCTTAGTTGTCAAACTAGGAAGAGTCTTGCATCTTACAAAGACCTCCTTCTAAATTCCTCAGTCTATTCATCTGAGGGAGAAGGGAAAGAAGAAAGGAAAAAAGGAAGAGAGACAGGCAGCAAGGGAAAATAAAAAAAAGGTGCAAGGCCCGTTCTCCTTTGCTAGTAAGATTGCTGTATGTGCTTGTGAGAGAATCAGGAGAAAGTTGGAGATCCTTCAGTTGTGTTCATGATGCATTTCTGAACAGTTTAACTGTTAACTCTATCCTAATGGCAACTGTATCGCTTTCCCACAATTCTGAAGCTGACTGAAATGCTCTCTCAGGAAGTCTGGACCTCAGGATCATACCTGAACTCTGCTATTGGCAAGCACATTTTCCTCTTTAGTCTCAGTTTCTCTAGTACAGTGAGGTGAATAGCAATGATGTAGCAATGAGAAGAAGAGGAAAATGAATGAATTTTAACATATTTGGGGAGCTATGAGTCTATTATTTAATATTCACAGTAACTCTGTGAGATACAAACTAATTCTCTCATCTTTTCACCATTGAAATGACGCCTTCTTGAACTTGTCAAGTGTTGCCTCCTTGTATCTGTCACGTTAGCTATTCCTTCTACTGAAAATCTTTTCTCCCCCAATTTTTGTCTCACTTCCTCTCATTTGTTTTCCAAATGTTGGCTTAAATGCAGCATCTTCAGGCATAACTTTCTGTCTTACTCTCTTCTCCAAACACGTGACATAATTTCTAATTCTGTCTATAGCTGAGTGACGGCGACAGAGGCTTTCTCTGTTTTCTAGTATACCTTCCTTCCTCTTCTTCAACAACTGCTACATAGGAAGCATTCCATTCAATGCCTGTTGAATGAATCACTGTGTTGGTGTTGTCTTACCAGGAACTGACGTTTGGAGAAGTGGGGTGATTTGCTTAAGGTTACCTCGTTAGGAATTGGGCTCCAAGTCAGATGTGCTGTGTTCTGCCACCCAGGGTAGAACTTAGGGGGACAACTGCAAGGAAGGCCACTGCACCTTTCTCTGCAATACCAGAGAATTCTACCCTTCCATCCCAAAGAACTCTAGTCCTCTCTCTTCACTGTGTTTTGATGTTTCCTGTTGTTTAGATTCTATAAATGGTATATTCCAATAGAGTTGAGTTCACTTTTTCAAATGAGTGTGATATCAGTCACACAGTGTGACCTCCCTTTAATCAATGATGACAGTGATGAATAAGAAACTTAACCCAAAAGCTATAGGTGTCAAACGTAACTGGAGTATGATGTCTTGTGTTTGCGAAGTTTAAAGAAGACTAGAGGAAAAAGTAACGATGTGGATGGTGTCAATCATCTATCTCCTCCTCATCATACATGTGGTGTTTTTTAATTTTATTTTTATTAATTACAGTTTATTCACTTTGTATTCCAGCTGCAGCCCCCTTCCCCATTCCCTCCAAAACCTCCATCTTCACATGCTACAAGGATCTGGAATATCCACCATCACAAGATGCAATCTAGACATGAACATTGAATAATTAGTACCAATTCTCTCTCATTCCTGTCAATACTACGAGCTTTTGGGAAGGGAGTAGCCACGCTCCTCTGAAGCCTGAGCTCTGAGAATTGTGTGGACTATGGAATGGGCTGGACTGATTGCTAAATGATGCCCATTAGTCCCATAATTTGGGCAAGCTGGAAAGCAAAGGCAAACAAAACATAAAAACAGATTTTATTTTGACTGCAGAGCTGTTGGTTCACTAGAGCTGAGACATATGTAGACCTAGCTAGGGCTTAAGTCTAAATTTCCTACTTTATGGTCTGGAACAACTTATCACAAACCCCACTATTTACAGCAATAATGTTCACTAGTGTTTATTGCGTATTTACACTGTGGTAGGAAGACCCACTCTATGGGCTCCACAGATCTAACAAGTATGAATCCATTTGCTTCTATTATGCATAACATATCATTTGCTTCACAGTTTAAAATACTGATTTTGGAAACCAACAAAACTGACACATATTTGCAAAAGTGGTTCCCAAAATATTGCTTGCCTTCTGAGGGTTTTACAATGAATTGCCATTTACCAGTCTTTTCCTACAAATGCTAAATAGGCAACTGAGGAAGACAATTCTTAAGGTGTTTTTCCACCAATGATTCTTCTGGTAGATCGCACTCATCCACATTCTGAACTTTTGGAACAGACACCTCTCCACCTCTCCAGTGCCAGCAGACGCCTCCATGGTAATTGTCTGCCTTGTATCACAAAGAGCAAAATAACTCAAGGGATTATTACCAATGCTGTTTTATTGTTTTAAGTAATGTCCTCGACATTATAAACTAGGGCCTTGGCACATAATCCACACATAGTTTGTCTCACTGTGCAAAATGAACTACTAGTACTGCTAACACTAAAATTAACTGGACTCTTTCTGTATGGGTTAGTTTGAAGTGCATTGATTTGGCTTTCTTTATAGATGAGCAAGAAATTCTTTTAATTTTTTTGCAAACTATGAAGGTAGTTGCTTCGCAGTCTAGTATTTCCTTAATTCCCTTGTTAGGACCCTCCTCCTCCATGAGTGTTCCTTGTTGACATTTATTCTGTCTACAAGATTCTCCGAGTTCATGCTCTTAATTTTTGTTGTCTCTTCTCCACAGATCCATATTTATACCAGGAAAGAGAATGACATTAACTCATAACATTTTCTCTTCTAATACTTGATTTAGAAACAGCAGCCAACACAGAGATATAACTGTCTGTGGGGACTTGAAGCAAAGCACTCTGATCACTCATGCTCTGAATAGAATCTCTTACTTACCTGATCTCCAGTCCACTAGCTCTAGTTTTCTCAGGTTATGCTTTTCCAAAAGGCAGTCTACACCATTCCAAAAGACAACCACATGTATTAAAGAAAATGCACCCAGACAAAGGCATGAAAACAAGGAAAATACCTATTAGGAGTCATCCACAGGCAGCTTTCCAGGTCTCTGTCTATGGAATTAAGCCCATCTTCCATGTGAGGCATGGCACTGCTTCACACACTAGCAGTCATTTTTCCCTGTCCAAGAAGCATTTCTATAATTCACTGGTCTGTTCTTTAGAGCCCCTTCCAGCCTAGTGTTCACCCTCCTAGAGTTCATCCTCCCCTGTGATCAGCTCTGTGGAGGGCCACAACCTCCTTCCACCTAGACACAGAGCTCCTGATTATTGTTGTTGTTTTAAATCCCCATCACCTTAAAAGCTGTTTTTTTTTCCCTTTCTTCTTTTGTCCTTGGCAGCTTTTTGCAATCTTTGCATTTGCAACATGTGGTGGCTATTCAGGAGGCCTGCGGCTGAGTGTGGACTGCGTCAACAAGACAGAAAGTAACCTCAGCATTGACATCGCATTTGCCTATCCGTTCAGGTAAGGAATGGTGATCCATGTTCCTCAACCTAACAGCAGGAAGCTTTCTTCCTTCTGTGATTACTGGCTGAAAAATGTAGGGTGGGTAGAAAGAAATTCTGCTTGAAGCCACAAAATGTCATTCTTAGAGAATCTACCGACCACTCCACAGTGGGAAGATTTGCTAACTATGCTTTCAATCCAGTATTGACTGTCCTCCAAAATAGAAGCCTCCCATTATGACCTAGTGCTGGGGGCTCTCAACAAAGAGACCCCACTCACACAATTTAAGATCTCTCACATTCTCTCGAGATTAGTGAGTTACTGTAACCTGACAGGGATTGTGCAACTCTGGCTGATGATGGCCAACAATGTGTCTGTGAAACAGATACATACTGATTAGACAAGGACCTGTTCCAGCTCATCTAACGACCAATCAAAGTAATACTTTGAGAGAAGTCCCATTCCTTCCATCAGTTCCATCCTGAGATGCTGGAGGATGCATTTATTTTCCCCTTACATTCTCTCTGATACCAAGAGTTTGAGTCTACCTGGCTTGAAAGAAATTCACATCTCTATTCCTATACTTAAATTGATAGAAAGCTTTCAAGCCCATTATCAGCTTAATGTCTGTTCCATGCCTATAAAATGATGGACAGATGCCTGCAGAGCTTGTTCCCAGCCTCACTTCTCAGGGCTTCGATCCAGACACTTAATATAGGCTAACTTTATTCAATTTTAAAATATTTACTCCTGGAGTAGAGACATGGCTCAGAGGTTAAGAGCACTGGCTGCTCTTCCAGAGGCCTTGCATTCAATTCCTAGCAACCACATAGTGGCTCACAACCATCTATAATGGGATCTAGTGCAGTCTTCTGGTGTTCAGGTGTACATGCAGACAGAATATTGTATACATAATAAATAAATAAATCTTAAAAAATTCACTGCTGTAAAACTCTCAAATAATTGGCATTAATTAACTCTAAGGGAGAGGTGTTAAGCAACTTTTAACAGTGTTTTGATATGTTATCAATGTACTTTCTTATTTATTTCATATTAACATTACCTTCTATGGGCCTGATGCTGGCTCTGTAATTACAAAGAAAGTAAGAAAAAAAAATCAACCTTTACTAGCCTTTTGTAAGCAGGTAAGTACAGTATTTTCCAGAAATATTTTCATGAATCCCTATAAGACTGTTCACTAAAGAAAAGGAAGAAAATGGAGGAAGAGAAAGAAAGGAGGCAAAAAAAAAAAAAGATGGGAGAAAGAATTTAAGAATATGATAAAAAAAACTCAAGAAATCCTTCTTATTACTTCATCTTTCTAACATACATTTTTGAATCCCCTAGAGACCCATTGTTTCCCAAACATATTTCCCATGGAAATTCTTCTTCTCCTTGCTAAGTAGCTGAGAGGATTTGTAAATCGTGGACTGTATCCTTTTAATATTGGCCTTGAAACATTTCCTAGTCTAAAACAAAAAGTTTTATTCATAGGCATTGAAGCATAAGAAGTAATGTTTTTACCAACATTCTGAAGGATTAAGGAGAACTGACAGCACTTTTCAAATGGCCCCATTTGAGCAGTCTCCTAACTGATGAGAGTGTACAAAGCTCAGAAATGTTAAGCATTCTCTGGGAACTCACGGTTGATATTTATCGTGAGCTGGAAAAGAACAGGGAGAAGATGCTAACTCCACTGGAAGTTCTATATGAAACCCTTGGCTTTGGGAGGAGAAAGCTATGTTCACTGTCTAGGATCTAGAGTACCAGATAAGAATTGCCAGTGGCCAGGCAGGTAGTGGGACTGGGCTGCTAAACATTGTTCCTGGGCTCAAAATGTCTGCATTGCTTCCACAATGAGCTCTGACCAATAGCTACTAAGGAGGGAGTGGGGGTAAATTCAACCCTTTAAGGTCTGAGAACAACTGCCTAGTAAACACTGCCTTAGGCACATGGATTCCTAGTCTTGCCCTCAAGCTAGAGAAGAACAGTTAGAAGAGGCATCTGTGTGAAAAACCAGCAATGGAGCTCAAGTGGGATGGAGAGTAAAGTACTCATTTCATGTAACCCTTTGAGGCATGGGATCACTTGTCAAGCAGTTTCCAGCTTGGGCTTCTCCATTTCCTTCCCCAAACTGCAGAGTCATGTAGTTGGTCCTTCACTGGCATCTGGAGAAACTGCGTAAAGACAGTGTTGTTCCCCATCCCCACCCCCGCCTCTTTAAGGAAAAGAGTCCCTTCATTTGAAATACCTTTCTGAAACAAAAATGTTCAAACATTGTTTTCAATCAAGCCCTACCTTCTTCAGGAGTTCATATGCAAAGCAGATAAAAGTCATTGAGATCATTGATACACCGGAAAGAGAATGACATTAACTCATAACCATAGTGTGCCATCTGGAGCAACCCCTGGGGGCTCCAAGTCTCTCAGGAGGTATGTACACTCCTCTATTTTTGATAAAGAAGGAAAGTAAGCTTTGCCTCTCTGTTTCACGTTTGCACATTTACTGCTAGTCCACTCCCACAGAACGTCCTGCTCTGCTGTCCCAGTAACATCTAAGAGAAGTGTTTAGCTTGCAGTTTCAGCTCAACATTTGAATACTATGAAATGCCCTTCTTCTGTTGAGAACATTCTCAAGAGTAAGCAGGAATATATACGAGTTATTTTGTTTGTTTATGTAGAACTCAATAAGCCACTGTCAGTGCTATGATCATAACCTTTGAATTGAGATGGGAGCCATTAGTAGCTTCTAACTGTCTAGTTTACTTACAAACACAAGGAAGATGTAAAGTCAAGCCTCAAAGTCAGTGGAACAAAAAAGATACATATGATGACAAAAGAAAAGGACCTACTGAGCTGGTTGTCTGTTGAAAGATTTTTAAAATTTAGTATTGATTTATATCTGAGTAAAGCAGCGGCTACTTCCTAACCAGCTATATAGCCAAATAACCACACAGAGAAGCTAGAGCACAGTGCTGCTCAATAATTATCCATCCTAAACCTCCAAGCTAGTATAGCTTCCTCCCATTCAAATTTCAGTTATGCCACTCATTATATTTGCTTTGTAGTCATATCCTAGGTCTGGTTTATTTCCTGGCCCTCTCCTCACAAATCCCATCTGTACTCTAACTTTTCTCCTCCCTTCACCAGACCAGGATGTCCCATGCTATTCTTCCCAATGCTCAGTATTGGCTGGTTGTCTTTATTGGCCATGCACAGAACAAATAGTAGAATGTTTACACAAACTTGAGACAGGAGATGCTTAGAATAAACATCACAATGCAAGGTGTGGACTGAAATCAGATAGTGGGGTAGAGAAATCAGCATTTGAATCAACAAGGGTAAACTGTACATAGTCCACAAGAGCTTTATGCCGACAGTTGTCAGACAAAGACTTTACTTAATTTGATAGTGTCAGTTAGAAAATTCTAGATAATATACAACAGGTTCAAATGTTGCTTTTAGTAAATTTATCAAAATATGTACTTTCTCTATATCACCATATGTGCACATTTTTGCTTATACCACTAGGAGAGACGCTTGCTACTCAGCAATATCTCATTTTACTACAGAACTGAGACACCTGCCACCTGGCCTCCCTTTTGGCCTGTGATTAAACCAAACAAGTAATGCTTAACTGTTTTCTCATCTCCTGTAAAGTGTCATCAGGGTATGAAAGTGGTTTTGACACTGGAGGGTATGGGTTTCTGGATCTCGTATGCTCAGCATGTCCTTAATACACTGGTGTCAAGGAAGGCTGCTCATTTCAACGTTCTTAATACATGTGAAGAACACCCATCAGAAGAATGAACATTAGAATGTCGCACTTTTATTTTTTTTTTGTCTTTAGAGGTAACTCCTCCAAAAATAACTTGTACCAGATCTTCATCTCAGAATCTGTATATTTGTTGCTTTTCTTCATTCTGAACAAGTACTGGCAACTTAAAGAGGGAAAGATTTCTTTAAGCTCATAGTTACACAGAGTCTTGGTCATGCTCCCACCACCATGGATTTTGCTTTTTTTTTTTTTTTTTTGGTTCTCACCACGATGAACCAACACCCTATGAAGAGACAATGATACCTATTCCAAATATTGCTGAAAGTGTTAAATGAGACATACATGCAGAATGTTTAAACAAGACCTGACATTCAGTAAGTTTTCTTCTAATATATTATTCTCGTGTTATCATCAAATTAGTGTATCATCAAATTAGTGTAGCTGGAAATTAGCTAGAGAGCAGAAAAGATAATTGACTAGCAAACATGTCCTTGAAGCAACAACATTTCTGAGACTATCCTCATCCCAGAATGAGAGCCTTCTCCACCCTCTCTCTTCACACATGCAAACATTAGAAGATATGCATATTTAAACATCTCACCTGGATTAACTTGTTTTTACTGCTCTGGTGTTCTTAAGAGAAATTATAATAGGACCTTTGTGTTTCTTTTGAAACCCTTCCAGAAGAATGGAGAAACCTGTCACAAGCTATTGGGAAAATTATTTAGCATCACCAGGGCAGGAGAGGGAAATTCAGCTTGAGCCATAAGATCCTGAAAACAGAGAATTCAAGGATGGGACATCCACAATAGTAAAAAGACAAGCAGGAGCTGCTTAGTTGGCACTGAAGGAGCAGGTTTTCTTCCCTTTAAATGAATGCAGCCCTTGCTCTCTGGATCCCCACTCCTCTTCAGAACATTTGAATAAGCTCAACTAAAAAGGGACATTGTAGCATCTGGGACTTTACACAGTATTACCAGCTTTTCTAGAGCCAAGATGGGAGATGAGCCTTTTCCTCAGATTCTTGCCCAGAGGTAGTAGAGATAAACACTTTTTTTTCCTCCCTACTATTAAGCCAACGGGAAAAAGACAAGTAGTGAAGACTGTGTTATTTTCATCTTGTGTTCATGAAATGCTGTGTCTATTCTTGGAACTTTGTCATTGTTTCTCATTACCAAGTATTTTCACTCTGTCTGGATAAAGCTTCAGACATTTTAGGTCTATAACATCTCATTTTAACA